CAACACACTTTTTCTGGCATGAGGTATTCCAACGGTTTTAATGTAATTGTGGGGTGCTGCTGATTCCAAATCTGGCATCAGTTTTTGTCTATCATGTCAGGTTTTTGAGATATCAAAGATTGCATTTTCAATAAAAACTGCGGAAGAAAAATATTAAATAAATGTGGATATCTACATAAAATGATATTATAAACGCACTATCCTAAAAATACAGCACCATACACCATATTTTAACACTAAAGCAGTCACTGACTCGCAACAACTTGCAATCATAAGTGACGGAGTTAATTTCGGGTAAAATCAATGAAAATGGGGTATGCCGATAGCATAAAAATTAGATGTGATAGAGCAAATCTGAGATCAGATTTGGAATCAGCACCCTGAAATTAGTCTAGAACAGCTGCAAAAGTCCAGGCCAGAATTTTAGTTTTTTTGTTGTTGACCAGTGCAATAGAAGACAGATCATATTCTTAGGTTTTTTCCGGTAAAGTCACGTAGGTAAAAAATTAAAATTAATAAAAGTAAAATAAAATAAAAGCTTGTGTTGCCTCCGAAACGTCGTGATTTTTATTTTATTTTGCAGAGGCGGCACGGGGGATCTGTCTTCTAGATTTGAAGCATTCGTGACTGCAAGGATTCATATTCTTAGGTTTTTTCGGTAAAGTCACGTAGGTAAAAAAATTAAATTAATAAAAGTAAAATAAAATAAAAATCACGACGTTTCGGAGGCAACACAAGCTTTTATTTTATTTTTATTAATTTTAATTTTTTACCTACGTGACTTTACCGGAAAAAACCTAAGAATATGAATCCTTGCAGTCACGAAAGCTTCAAATCTAGAAGAAGACAGATCCCCCGTGCCGCCTCTGCAGACTCTAAGGGCAAGTGCCTTGAGCCCTTTTGAAGGGCGGCACTGTGGCACGCGGGGGCGCGGTGTGCCCACAACCACTCCCGGCCGCCTTTGTCTCTCCCACTGCTGATGGTGACTGCCACTGCACCACATGCTCTCTTGAGTGTGCGGGTTGAGAAGCGGGTGAATGTGCGGTTGAATGATTGAGTGTGCGGTTGAGTGAGCGGGTGAGCGGATGAGCGGGTGAGCGTGCGGGTGAGCGGATGAGTGAGCGGATGAGGAGTGGGTGAGTGTGTGGGTGAGCGGATGAGTGGGTGAGTGTGCGGGTGAGCGGGTGAGTGAGCGGATGAGGAGTGGGTGAGTGTGCGGGTGAGCGGATGAGGAGTGGGTGAGTGTGCGGGTGAGCGGATGAGTGAGCGGATGAGGAGTGGGTGAGTGTGTGGGTGAGCGGATGAGTGGGTGAGTGTGCGGGTGAGCGGGTGAGTGAGCGGATGAGGAGTGAGTGTGCGGGTGAGCGGATGAGTGAGCGGATGAGTGAGTGGGTGAGCGTGCGGGTGAGTGGATTAGGAGTGGGTGAGGAGTGGGTGAGCGTGCGGGTGAGCGGATGAGTGGGTGAGCGTGCGGGTGAGTGGATGAGTGAGCGGATGAGGAGTGGGTGAGCGTGCGGGTGAGTGGATGAGGAGTGGGTGAGCGTGCGGGTGAGTGGATGAGTGGGTGAGCGTGCGGGTGAGCGGATGAGTGAGCGGATGAGTGAGCGGATGAGGAGTGGGTGAGCGTGCGGGTGAGTGGATGAGTGGGTGAGCGTGCGGGTGAGCGGATGAGTGGGTGAGTGTGCGGGTAAGCGGAAGAGTGAGCGGATGAGGAGTGGGTGAGCGTGCGGGTGAGTGGATGAGTGGGTGAGCGTGCGGGTGAGCAGATGAGTGGGTGAGTGTGCGGGTGAGCGGATGAGTGAGCGGGTGAGAAGTGGGTGAGTGTGCGGGTGAGCGGATGAGTGAGCGGGTGAGAAGTGGGTGAGTGTGCGGGTGAGCGGATGAGTGAGCGGATGAGGAGTGGGTGAGCGTGCGGGTGAGCGGATGAGTGAGCGGATGATTGAGCGGGTGAGCGGATGAGGAGCGGGTGAGCGGATGAGTGAGTGAGCGTGTGGTGAGTGTGACTGAGACCCACTCAGTGAGTCTCTGAGACTCACTCTGAGATTCACTCAGAGACTCAGACTCACTCAGAGACTCAGAGACGCATCCAAAGACCCACAGACGACCACAATCGATTCCCATGTTGTCCCAATGGGATTCGATTCCATCCACTCTAATCACTAGCAAGATCGATTCCCATGTTATCCCAATGGGATTCGATTCCATCCACTCTAATCACTAGCAAGATCGATTCCCATGTTATCCCCATGGGATTCGATTTCATCAACAAATCACCACAGTAGATTCCCATGTTGTCGAAAAGGTATTCGATTCCATTATACTACCGTACTCGCTACCACTGGATTCCAATGCAATTCCAATCGGAATTGATTGACTTCGTCCAATTCTCTGCAAGAATCAATTCTCAACGTCCCAATCGATTTTCTCTCCACGTCACTCGGGAAGCTACAACACGTGGGTCTGTGTGGTCGTTCATGACGATGCACAAACTCTGCACACTTGGCCTACTCTTCCACTTCGTGCTGCCTCTCCACCACCACCTCGTCACATGTAACCACGGTGAGCCGAACCGGTCGATAAATCGGGTACCAGGTTGACTGGGGAGCGGTGGCGCAGTGGTTAGGTCACTGTGTGTGGATGCTCATGCTGCTGTGGAGTGGCTCATGCAGCCAGCTATGGCTGCAAAGTTTTGGTAGTACGTGTTGTTTATGCTATTGTGAAAATTCCGTCACAGTTCCTATGATTGCTTTTTCATTGCTTTCATGGCTTTATTTTGGTGATTTCGAAAAGTGTATTGGTTTAGCCATGTTTGTTTGTTGTAGTACAGAGTTAGACTGATGGCCTTAATCTAAGTTGTCTTGTGGTTGTTGTTTGACTTGCATCCTACTGGGATGTTTGCACACAGCGTTGGGGTACTGTGATTTTTTTCTTGCAATATTTTGCTGTCTTTTCTTGGATTTTCTGTTTGCACTTAGTCACATAGTCACTTTAAGATGTTTTCTTGTTCATGTTTTTTTGTTGTTGCGGTTGCACCCGATTCAAGAGCCGAATGGCTCACAGGGCTACACCTAATACATGAACTTGAAATAAATTAACTTGAACTGTGTGTGGAGTGGTTACAAATACAGGTAAGTCCCCGGCTTACGATGATCCGATATCGATATGGCAAAATGGTTAAATGTTTTACATTTCGCGTTACTGAACGCATCTCCCGCCTTGTGTGGCAATGCCTCTCACTCTCGGCAGCGGTAGACGGAGTTCAGTTGTCTCTGTGTTTGTGTGTTTCATGAATCTTGGTGAGTACAGTAGAATATGATACGTTATGATACGTTCAATGCATGTATACACTACACTATACACTACACTATATACTACATTACACTATACACTACATTATACACTACTATACACTATACACGACACTATACACTACATGATTACTATACACTACTATAAACTACACTATTACACTACACTATACACTACTATACACGACACTATACACTACTATACACTACACTATACACTACACTATACGCTACTACACTATACACTACACTATACACTACACTATACACTACACTATACACTACACTATGATACGTAGCTTTAGCGATTTCATTTTAGGGTTACCACGATACGTTAAGATACGTTCAATGAATGTTAGAAGTTTTTATAGCAGATAGGATTGTTTCCTGCAAAAACTTTCTATGAAATTGCAGTTCATATAGGTAGACTAAGAATTTAGCTTGTTTTTTTACTTTACATTTTACCGTACAATACAGTATTGTAAGTAATAAGCACACACAGTATATAGTTTATACAGTACGCTACTGTAAATTGCTCTGTTTTGCTAAATTATCACCGTTCTTCGATGGGGTCGTCGTAACACATCTCCATCGTAAGTCGGGGACTGTCTGTACATGCTGTAGTGAGTCGTAAGTCGGGGACTGCATGTACATATTGAAGTGGGAGTCGTAAGTCGGGGACTGTCTGTACATGTCGCTGTAGTTAAGAGTCGTAAGTCGGGGACTATGTTCATGCTGTAGTTAAGAGTCGTAAGTCGGGGACTGTATGTACATACTGTAGTGAGAGTCGTAAGTCGGGGACTATCTGCATATGGCGTTGTGGTGAGTCGTAAGTCGGGGACTATCTGTACAAGATGTGGTGAGAGTCATAAGTCGGGGAAGGGCCTGCATATAGTGGTTATTGTCGTAAGTCGGGGACTATCTGTACATGGCGTTGTGGTGAGAGTCGTAAGTCGGGGACTGTCTGTACAATACATTGTGGTGAGGGTCGTAAGTCGGGGACTGTCTGCACAATGCAACACCCGTGGGATAGCAACAAAAATCTAACCAGAAAACTATAGACAGACATATAAGCAGACAGATATCACCAAGATACATAGAGAGAGAGAGTAACACAGGTACAGAGAGGGAGATCGTCTCTGTGGCGAGGCCTTAAATAGACAGAGGGGGGGGGGGGGGGGGAGAGAGGGAGGGGGTAGAGAAAACATTTACATGTCAATGAGTACGAAGAGACGCGTGGTAAAGTACACACTAAATTAAATAACCTAGCAAAATATCGAAATGTTATGTAATACAACACAGAGAGTCAATCAACACACAACGCATAGCCTGGTCGATTACGTATTTCAAAGATTGCTAAGTTAGAATTTAAGTGTGAAAATTCCAAAGAGAGACAAAACATACAACAAGAGGAACGGAGACACACAGACAGAGCAGAACATAAGAACGACAAAAAACGAGTGGAGACAGAAAAAGGACACTAAATACACAGGGAGAGAGAGAAAACAAAAAACCCAAATTTAAGATCGAACCACTTCTACGGGGAAGTTTCAAGTTTATCTTTTTCTCTCTCTCTGGGTTTTTTGTTTTCTCTCTCTGCCTGTGTATTTAGTGTCCTCCTCCTCCCCCTCCTCCTCCCCCTCCTCCCCTTCCTCCTCCTCGTCGCTGGCGCTCACCTGGCCGCCCGTGGAGATGCAGCGCCGCCACCGCCGCCGCTGCGTCTCTTTCAGCCGCTACGGAGACGCGGAGGAGGAGGAGGCGGTGGGGGGGGGGGCGGTCGGAGGCCGGAGGCACCGTGCTTTGTGACGCTGCCGGCGGCGGCGGCGGGGAGCAGGAGGGGAGGGAGGAGAAGAGGAAGGAGGAGAAGGGGGGGGAGCAGGAGGGGAGGGTGGAGGAGAGGAAGGAGGAGGAGGGGGGGGAGGGTGGCTTCTGCTACGCGGCGTGGCGCAACGTGTCGGGCGACATCTTGCTGGAGCGCCAGGGCTGCTGGGTGCACGACTGCCGTGGGAGGTGAGGAGGCAGACCAGCAGCCCGCCCACCGGATCCCCCCCCACCACCTCCTCCCCCCCCCCCCCACCTCCTCCTCCCCCCACACCTCCTCCCCCTCACGACCTCCTCTCTCTTCCTCCCCCCCACACCACCTCCCCACCTCCTCCCACCTCCCCCCCCCTCCTGCTCCCTCCCCCCCACCCTCTGGGTGTCCCACTGTGATCAGGAGCAAGTGCGTGGAGTCGAGTAGCAACCCGTTTGTCTACTTCTGCTGCTGTGACAGGGACCTCTGTAACGTCGACTTCGCCCGACGGCCCCGGCCACACGGTCAGTCTTGAGCCGCGAGAGACGCCGGAGATGGTTCACGAGGCGGGAAGAATCGATGCCGTTCCAGCTCTCTCTCGTTGTCGTCACGGCCCGGCCAGGCCTGGCTGGTGTTGGCCAACGGCAAAGAAACGATTTTTTTTACGACCGAGAAAGGTGGATCATTTAAAAGGATGATCATAATTAATATTGCAATGTATGAAGAGCTACAATCGTGCTCTGTGGCGCGACGCGTGGTTGATGTCAAATAAATAAAATATTTTATTTTCTACCTACGTGAGTAGAAAATAAAATATATTATTTTATTTTATACCTACGTAACTTTACCGAAATAACCAAAGAGTGTGTATGGGAGCCTTTAACATTAAAGTCTATGGGAGCCTTTAACATTGCAGTCTATGGGAGAATTTAACATTGAAGTCTATGGGAGAATTTAACATTGAAGTCTAATGGAGACTCTAACATTGAAGTCTATGGGAGCCTTTAACATTGCAGTCTATAGGAGAATTTAACATTGAAGTCTATGGGAGCCTTTAACATTGAAGTCTATGGGCGACTTTAAAATTGAAGTCTATGGCAGCCTTTAACATTGAAGTCTATGGGAGACTTTAACATCTATATATATAAAATCGCAAATTTGTCTGTCTGTCTGTGTGTCGCCGGACCATACGCAGTTTCATTGGACGAAATGTGAGGGATTTGCGAGACACGATTGGTCCGTTTGGTTTTCCACGGCGGTTGCCCCTGGCAACGGGTAGCGACGCATTCGCTGCGGGGTGGACGCCATTTTTAATTCCCGTTAAAAATATGTGCACGCATTAACACGCGACTCTGAGGTAAATTCATCAAAGTTTCACGTCCTCTTCACTCCCCCCCACCCCAATGTGTGCAATTACTATTATAGGGTCGGTACATAATAAAATTATAGCGATTAGACAGTATTATTGTAGCGCGGGGGGGGGGGGTAACGACCCCAGTACCCAGCCTCAGCCGGGTGGGCAATTTAGGCGAGGCCGGAGGCTCTGCACGGTACTAGGCCTCGACACCCCACCACACTATAGGCCGTACATATTACTGCACAGCGGCCGAGGAGATCGTGGCTGGGGGGGGGTGGGGGGGCAGGGGTAGCAGCCCATCTGTGTATATATGTAAGGTTATTAAGAAATATATTTTTCACCCGGGCAACGCCGGGTACTTCTGCTAGTTGAAGTATATTGGAGCCTTTAACATTGAAGTCTATGGGAGAATTTAACATTGAAGTCTATGGGAGCCTTTAACATTGAAGTCTATGGGAGCCTTTAACATTGAAGTCTATGGGAGAATTTAACATTGAAGTCTATGGGAGCCTTTAACATTGAAGTCTATGGGAGACTTTAACATTGAAGTCTATGGGGGGATTTAACATTGAAGTCTATGGGAGCCTTTGACATTGACGTCTATGGGAGCCTTTAACATTGCAGTCTATGGGAGACATTACCATTAAAGTCTATGGGAGACTTTAACATTGAAGTCTATGGGAGACTTTAACATTGAAGTCTATGGGAGAATTTAACATTGAAGTATATGGGAGCCTTTAACATTGCAGTCTATGGGAGACATTAACATTACAGTCTATGGGAGACTTTAACATTAAAGTCTATGGGAGACTTTGACATTGAAGTCTATGGGAGACTTTAACATTTAAGTCTATGGGAGAATTTAACATTGAAGTCTATAGGAGAATTTAACATTGAAGTCTATGGGAGCCTTTAACATTGAAGTCTATGGGAGCCTTTACCATTGCAGTCTATGAGAGACATTAACATTGACGTCTATGGGAGCAGCCCCTGTGAGTGCCTTCACAGCTGAGCCTCCTGTTGCAGAGGTCACTCAGCAGCCTACGCCGGTGGCCAGGCCGGTGCCCACGCCAGTGACCCTGCTGTCCGTCACGACGCCGCTGCTTCTGCTGCTGCTGCTGCCGCTCTCCGTGTGGACGTACCGGCGATGCCGCAAGCTGACGCACGCCACAACGCCTCCGCAGGTGGTGGTGGTGCTGTGTGTGTGTCTGTGTGTGTGTGTCTGTGTGTGTGTGTGTCTGTGTCTGTGTGTGTGTGTCTGTGTGTGTCTCTGTGTGTATCTCTGTGTGTGTGTGTCTGTGTGTGGCCTCAAGGTGCACTTGGCCTGGCACAAGCGTCGTGGTGACGTCACCGCCACTTAGTGGCGAATGGCGGTTGTTGTTGTTGTGTCTGTGTGTGTGTGTGTCTGTGTGTGTGTGTCTGGTGGGGAGCGGTAGTGTAGTGGTTAGCGCGCTGCACTATGAACCTGGCGATCCGGGTTCGATTCTCGCTCACGGCGAACACCAGTGACGATTATCTGAACCGGTCCTGGGCCTCCCCTAGTTCGACTCAGCCTCAAATGAGTACCTGGTGCGGTGTGTAAACATCGCCACTATTGAGACACGTGGAATGTTCGAACGCTCACTGCGGAGGAGAGGCTGCCACACCTCTGTCGGGAGCTGGACCGGTACCGTCTGGATCTTTGTGGCATTCAGGAGGTCCGGTGGACCAGCTCTGGATGCTGCCACTATGAGGGGTGGACAGTCCTCTACTCGGGGCAGAAGACTACTAAACAATAGGGAGTGGCTCTTGTTTTGAAAAAAAGAATGAAGGGGGTGTGGGAGCGTGGCAGTGAGGTGTGGGAAGCTGTAAGCCCCAGGCTATTTTGGGCTTGCCTTCCCATCAACCGGAGGTGAGGACTGGTGGTCGTGGTTACTTATGCCCCCACCGAAGACGAACATCCGTGGAGGGATACAGGCAAGGCCAATGAGTCAGATGCCTTCTATGACCTGTCACAGGTGCTGGCTAAAGTGGCCCCTCGGGATAGAGTCATCTTGTTGGGTGACTTCAATGCCAGAGTTGGCCATGATGCTGGCACCTGGTCTGGAGTGATTGGAAGGCATGGGCCAGATCAGCTCAATAACAATGGTAGGAGGCTGCTAGATTTTTGTGCAGCCCATGGGCTTGTAATTACCAACACGCTGTTCAGGCATCGGCACATCCACACTACATCATGGATGCATGCCGGGTCCAAGTAAGAACATCTGCTGGGCTACATAGTGACGGATCAGCGGATGCGGGCCCATGTCCTTGACACCAAGACCTACTGTGGAGCTGATCTGCCCCCTGACCATCGACTAGTCATCTGTAAGATGCGCCTGCCATTCTTCCATTCCGGTGGTGGGTGGACACCCAGGACCCCATTCCAACCTAAGGTGGCTTGGACTCAGCTTGTAGGCAGGGCAGCCTAAATGTTTCTAACCGGCGAAGATGCTTCGTTTTGGTCGGGTTTAAGCAGGCTGGATTGTGTGAGGAGCTCACAAATCCTTGAAAGATCTGGACAAAGACCCATGGGTGAGCTCCTCCGGCAGACAACGCTGCGTTGGCTGGGCCATGTAGCCCGCATGCCAAGTCGTCGCATGCCTAAACAGCTTTTGTTCGGCTGGATCCAGGGGGCTAAATGGGCATGGCACGGGCTAGAGAAGAGATGGAGTGATGTGGTACAGGAGGACGTGGAGCTGAGTGGGCTTGCCTGACTAGTACCAGCGGTGTCAAGATCGGCCTCTGTGGAGGAGGCTCGTGAAGGATGCTACTGGGCAGTTGGAGGCAGTCGCCCTCCAACAACAATGGAGGGCGGAGGAGCGACGCTCACAACAACGAGCGGAGCGCCTGGTGGCTAAAGCATAGCAAGTCGGCACAGTAGGGGGCACAGGTGGTGCATCAGCCACTCATCTCAGTCAGTCGACCAGTGGCACCTGGGTCTGCCCCGTGACCTCCTGCCAGCGGGCGTTCTTGTGTATAGTGTAGTGTATAATAAGTGTATGGTGTAGTCACTTGCCCTGCCGGTCTGTCCAGGCTACGCGGCGGGGGGTCTCTGCTGTTGACGGCAGCGAGGCTGCCCGACGCTCCATTCCGCCAACAGGAGGCGGTGAGCCTGACGGCGCTGCTGCCGCCGCTGCTGCTGCTGGACTTACGAGCCGGCGGTCGCTTCGGCTGCGTCTGGCGCGCTCAGCTCCTGTCCGAAGTCGTCGCGGTGAAGATTGTCCAGACCGTGGTGAGACCCTGCACACACACACACACGCACACACGCATACACACTCACACACGCACACACACACACTGACCCTGCGCGACACGTGTTTCTACAGACTCACGGAGGCCCACAGAGACCCACAGCGACCCACAGTGACCCATAGAGACCCACATCAACCAACAGAGACCCATAGAGACCCACACAGACCCATAGAGACCCACAGCAACCCACAGAGACCCATACTCATAGAGACCCACAGCAACCCACAGAGACACACGGAGGCCCACAGAGACCCACAGTGACCCATAGAGACCCATAGCAACCCACAGAGACCCACAGCAACCCAAAGAGACCCACAGAGACCCACATCAACCAACATAGACCCATAGAGACCCACACAGACCCATAGAGACCCATTAGAGACCCATACTCGCAGAGACCCACAGCGACCCACAGAGACCCACAGCAACCCACAGAGACCCACAGTGACCCATAGAGACCCATTGAGACTCACAGCAACCCACAGAGACTTTTAGAGACCCACAGAGACCCATAGAGACCCACATCAACCACCAGAGACCCACAGCAACCCACAGAGACCCACAGTGACCCACATCAACCAACATAGACCCATAGAGACCCACAGAGACCCATACTCAGAGATTCACAGCAACCCAGAGACCCACAGCAACCCACTGCGTGTGTCTCCGTGTGTCTGCGTGTGTCTCCGTGTGTCTCTGTGTGTCTCTGTGTATCTGCGTGTGTCTCCATGTGTCTGCGTGTGTCTGCATGTGTCTGCGTGTGTCTCTGTGTGTCTCTGTGTGTCTCCGTGTGTCTGCGTGTGTCTCCGTGTGTTTGCGTGTGTCTGCGTGTGTCTCCGTGTGTCTGCGTGTGTTTCCGTGTGTCTTCGTGTGTCTGCGTGTGTCTCCGTGTGTCTCTGTGTGTTTGCGTGTGTCTCCGTGTGTCTGCGTGTGTCTCCATGTGTCTCATATGTCTCCGTGTGTCTCCGTGTGTCTGCGTGTGTCTCCGTGTGTCTGCGTGTGTCTCCGTGTGTCTCCGTGTGTCTGCGCGTGTCTGCGTGTGTCTCCGTGTGTCTCCGTGTGTCTGCGTGTGTCTGCGGATCTCGCCGCGTGTTTCTCGCGGGACCACGGCTTCCCCCCCGCGAGACTTCTGCTCCTCTGGACGCGACCTCAGCCTGAGCAACTTCACACGTTTGTCTCCTCCTCCTCTCCCCGCCATCGTCGTCGGCGCTGTCTTCGTCCGGGACGCTCGCAGAACCAACGGCTGTGGCAGAACGAGGTGGACATTTTCGTCACACCCGGCCTGAGTCACCACAACCTGCTGCAATTCATCGGCGCGGAGAGGCGGGAAGGGAACGCCGAACCCGAGATGTGGATCATCACCACCTTCCACGAGCGGGTTCATAGACTCACTCACCGTGCAGAGACTCACAGACTACTCACATAGAGACTCACAGACTACTCACATAGAGACTCACCGACTACTCACACAGAGACTCACAGACTACTCACACAGAGACCCACAGACTACTCATGTAGAGACCCATAGACTACTCACACAGTAGAGACCCATAGACTACTCACGTAGAGACCCATAGACTACTCACACAGAGACCCATAGCCTACTCACATAGAGACCCATAGACTACTCACACAGTAGAGACCCACAGACTACTCACATAGAGACCCATAGACTACTCACATAGAGACCCATAGACTACTCACACAGTAGAGACCCATAGACTACTCACGTAGAGACCCACAGACTACTCACACAGAGACCCACAGACTACTCACACAGAGACCCATAGACTACTCACACAGTAGAGACCCATAGACTACTCACACAGAGACCCACAGACTACTCACACAGAGACCCATAGACTACTCACACAGAGACCCATAGACTACTCACACAGAGACCCATAGACTACTCACACAGAGACCCATAGACTACTCACATAGAGACCCATAGACTACTCACACAGTAGAGACCCATAGACTACTCACGTAGAGACCCATAGACTACTCACACAAACACACACACACAGAGACGCACATGTAATGGGTTCAATTGAAGCGCACACTTGAACTTGGAGGCAACCATCCCGGAGGGCTGCTACAAGCAACACCTCCCCTGCCTCCCTAAAGAAGCCTCAACACTAAATAAACTTACGAAATACTCTGAGGACTGAAAATCCTACATCGCCACAAATCCCAGCCTTCAATATTGAAATCAAAAAGCTAATCAATCAAGCCAAAACAGAACGCAGACACGAGTTTGTTGAATCTTTTGACCATCGCCAAAACTCATCAAAACTTTGGAAGATCATCGAAGCCTTAAACGGACACTCCAAACCCACCACCCAATTGTGCAATCAATTTCAACAACAAATCCGTCATAAACAACAACAACATCACCAAACAGAGGTGAAACTCGCTATCAAAAAAGCCAAAAATTATTCCGCAATTGGTCCGGATGGCATAGCTATGCCCGATCTCAAACACCTCGGCCCCCCTTGGCATCGAGTTTCTCGCCTACACCATTAACGCCTCGCTCCCAGTGCAACCTCATTCCGGCCATCTGGGAATCATCGACAATCATCCCACTTCCAAAACCCAGCAAAGACCTCAATCAAGCGACGTCCCACAGGCCGATTTCCCTACTTTACTTGAAACGCTCTTCAACCAAATAGCGCCACCACATCGAAGTTGAACCACTTGCACACCGCTGCCACCATGCACCATCACCACCACCACTACTACCACTACTACCACCACTACCACTACTACCACCACCATCACCACTACCACCACCATCACCACTACCACCATTATCACTACCACGACTACCACCACCACTACCACGACTACCACCACTACTATCACCACCACCACTACCACCACTACCACCACCACCACTACCACCACCACTATCACCACTACCACCACCACTACCACTACTATCACCACTACTATCACCACTACCACCACCATTACTACTACCACCACTACAACCACCATTGCCACTACCACCACTACAACCACTACCACCACCACCACCACTACCACCACTACCACCACCACTACCACCGCTACTACCACCACCACTACCACCACCACTACTACCACCACCATCACCACCACTACTACTACCAACACTACCACTACTACCACCACCACTACCACCACCATCACCACTACTACCACCACCACTACTACCACCACCACCACTACCACCACTACCACCACTACCACCACCACTACTACCACTACCACCACCATCACCACTACTACCACCACCACTACTACCACCACCACCACTACTACCACCATCACCACTACCACCATTACCACCACCACTACTACCACCATCACCACCACCACTACCACGACTACCATCACCACTACCACCACTACTACCACTACCACCACCACCACTACCACCACCACTACCACCACCATCACCACTACCACCATTACCACTACCACGACTACCACCACCACGACCACGACTACCACCACTACTATCACCACCACCACTACCACCATTACCACCACCACTACTACCACCATCACCACCACCACTACCACGACTACCATCACCACTACCACGACTACCACCACTACTATCACCACCACCACTACCACCATTACCACCACGACTACCACCACCACTACCACCATTACCACTACCACGACTACCACCACCACGACCACGACTACCACCACTACTATCACCACCACCACTACCACCATTACCACCACCACTACTACCACCATCACCACCACCACTACCACGACTACCATCACCACTACCACGACTACCACCACTACTATCACCACCACCACTACCACCATTACCACCACCACTACTACCACCACCACCACTACCACGACTACCATCACCACTACCACGACTACCACCACTACTATCACCACCACCACTACCACCATTACCACTACCACCACCATTACCACCACCACCACTGCCGCTGCTCCCCTCTGACCGCCGCAGGGCTCGCTGTGCGACCACCTCAAGGGCTCCACGCTGTCGTGGCACGAGCTCTGCCACGTGGGCGAGACGTTGGCACGCGGCCTCGCCCACCTCCACCGCCACGTGCACGGAGGCAAGCCGGCCATCGCCCACCGGTACGTCGCTAGCAGGCCGCCCACGGATCACCGGGGGTGGCGGCGGTGCGGGTGGCGGAGTGGGTGGGGGGTCCCTGCCGACCTCGGGTTCGGACTCCGCCAGAGGTCGCAACCGGGTACCCGATACCCGTACCCTACCCGATACCCAGCTACCCGTACCTGGCCGGGTACGGGTACCCGTTTGCGACCCTGGTGCGGTCGGGTACGGGTAGGCCGTGAGTCACCGGTGAGTCACCGTTTGTCACTCGTTTCGGGTAGGGTACGGGTAGGGAACGGGTACCCGTACCCGGCCGGGTACCCATTCCCTACCCGTACCCTACCCGAAATGAGTGACAAACGGTTACTCACCAGTGACTCACGGCCTACCCGTGGGTACGGGTACACATTTGCGACCTTGGTGCGGCCGGTTACGGTTACGGGTAAGGAATCAAAACCCGTTTGCGACCTCTAGACTCCGCTTGCTCCTCACGCAGCCCCCTCTCACCCTTCGACCGCTTGAACGCGTCACCGTGCCCCCCCCGCCCCCCCCCCCCCCCGTCTCTCCCGCAGCGACTTGAAGAGTAAGAACGTGCTGCTGAGGAGCGACCTGTCGGCCGTCGTCGCCGACTTTGGCTTGGCGCTCAAACTCCAGCCGGATTGCCCACCCGTCGACATCCCGCGGGTGAACACCGACGCCGGGGCCAAGAGGCGGAGACGCCAAGAGGCGGGAGGGTGCCGATAGAACCTCGTTTGCCGGAAGAAAAAATTTGATAGTTGTTTTTTTTTTACCCTTTTATCTGTGCAACAAGACTAGGCTCTCTGGAAAGCTGTCTCGGGTGTGGACCAATAAACTTCAAGGACAGTGCATACATTATCAGAGTTATGTTTTTTGTTTGCATTCCGACCGCAGGTATTGTGGTCAATGCAAACACGACTCCTCGTAAAAAAGGTGTCAGTTTCGTTGCCAGATTGAAGGGTTAAAAAAACAACGATCAGACTGGAGAGCGTCGTGCCGAGCGTGACGTCTCCGCCACCACCGTTGCACCCCGCCGCAGGTCGGCACTCTCCGCTACATGGCCCCCGAGCTGCTGGAGGGCGCCATCTGCTTGCAGTCCGACGCCTTCCTTCACATCGACGTCTACGCGCTGGGCCTGGTGCTGTGGGAGATCGCCACGCGCTGCATGTCCAGTGGCGGTGAGCGGAGGTGGCGGTGGTGGTGTGGCCCCAGGGGCGTGGTGCTGGCCGGCCCTGGTCACCTCTTGTCACACGGTGCCGCCCCACGTGATGTGGGTGGGGGGGTCTTTCTGTGCGTGTGTCTGTGTGTGTGTCTGTGTGTGTGTCTGTGTGTGTGTCTGTGCGTGTGTGACTGTGTGTCTGTGCGTGTGTCTGTGCGTGTGTGTGTGCGCGTGTTTGTGTGCGTGTGTGTGTGTGCGTGTGTCTATGCGTGTGTCTGTACGTGTTACTGTGTGCGTGTGTCTGTGCATGTGTCTGTGTGTCTGTGCGTGTGTCTGTGCGTGTGTGTGTGTGTGTCTGTGCGTGTGTCTGTATGTGTTACTGTGTGCGTGTGTCTGTGCGTGTGTCTGGTCTGTGTGTCTGTGCGTGTGTGTGTGCCTGTGTCTGTGCGTGTGTCTGTGCGTGTGTCTGTGCGTGTCTGTGTGTCTGTGCGTGTGTCTGTGTGTCTGTGCGTGTGTCTGTGCGTGTGTGTGTGCGTGTGTCTGTGCGTGTGTCTGTACGTGTTACTGTGTGCATGTGTCTGTGCGTGTGTCTGGTCTGTGCGTGTGTCTGTGTGTGTGTCTGTGTGTCTGTGTGTCTGTGCGTGTGTGTGTGCGTGTGTGTGTGCGTGTGTGTGTGCGTGTGTCTGTGCGTGTGTCTGTGCGTGTGTCTGTGCGTGTGTGTGTGCGTGTGTCTGTGCGTGTGTCTGTACGTGTTACTGTGCGTGTGTCTGTGCGTGTGTCTGGTCTGTGCGTGTGTCTGTGTGTGTGTCTGGTCTGTGCGTGTGTCTGTGGTCTCAGTTAGCTGATGAAAGTTCTCGACCGTCCAACTTTCAAAATGCATCATGGATGCATGCCGGGTCCAAGCAAGAACATCTGCTGGGCTACATAGTGATGGATCAGCGGATGCGGGCCCATGTCCTTGACACCAGGACCTACCGTGGAGCTGATATGCCCTCTGACCATCGACTAGTCATCTGTAAGATGTGCCTGCCATTCTTCCATTCCGGTGGTGGGTGGACACCCAGGACCCCATTCCAGCCTAAGGTGGCCTGGTCTCAGTTAGCTGATGAAAGTTGCAAGCGAGAATTTCATCATCGCTTGCGGCTGGGGTTGGCATCGTCCCCCACTCCTCCTGATGTCGAGGGTAAATGGGCGAGGTTTGGGACTGTGACTCGTGCAGCTGCAATGGCTGCTTTGGGTACACGGTCAAGACCTCCCCAGAGACCCTGTCTGACAGAGGAGGTGTTCAGGCTGGTTGAGAAAAAGCGACAGGCCCACTCTTATCGTCTACAGCATCCCATGTCAGAGAATGAGGAGGCTTACCGCAGCCTTTGCTCGGAGGTTCGGACAGCCGTGAGGCACTGCAAGGATGGGTGGTGGTTGCGGGTTGCTGAGGAGATGGAGTCTGCCTCAGTGGCCCGCGATCACAAATCACTATTTAACTCCATCAAAAAAGTAACCTGCAGCGCCACACCTATTACCATCACTAGGGGAAAGAACGGTGATCCAATCTCCGACCCCCAGAAACAGGTTTGCAGATTTGCTGAGCATTTCTGTGAGGTCCTGGCGGAGGGGAAATCCCTCAACATGGAAAACATCATGGCACAAAGTGGGGATGACCCTGCTGAGGCTGCGGTGCCTCATATATTGGAAGAAGAAGTCACCCCCTGTGAGTGGCTGGCTGAGGTGCCATCTGTTGAGGAAGTACTGAATGCGATCCAGAGTCTGAGACCAGGAAAGGCACCAGGCAGAGATGATCTCCCAAGCGAAATGCTGAGGGAGGGTGGCGTTTGTGCACAGACTGTCCTACATTAAGTCATAACAACAGTCTGGGCCACTGGACGGGTTCCGCAGGATTGGAAGGATGCCCTGGTGGTCCCCCTCTTTAAGAAGGGGGACCGCACAGACTGTAACAACTACAGGGGCATCTCACTCCTCAGTGTGCCGGGAAAGGTCCTGACATGGATTTTTCAACATCGCCTTGCTAGGCACGCTGAGGAGAGGCTTGCGGAGCCTCAATGCGGTTTCAGGAAAGGGCAGTCCTGCACAGATACCATATTTTCAGTCTGTCTGCTACAGCAGATGTGTAGGGAATTCCAACAAGACCTACATCTCTGCTTTATTGACCTGGTCAAGGCCTATGATACCATCAGTAGGCCTGGGCTCTGGGTTGTTCTTCGTGCTTTTGGAGTCCCTGACCCTCTGCTCACGCTCATTAAGGACCTTCATGATGGTGAGTGGGCCCGGGTAAAACTACGTGGCCGGGAGTCAAAACCATTCCCTGTACACCTTGGGGTGTGACAGGGATGTCCTCTGGCTCCCACATTATTTAACATCTATTTTGACCACGTCATTCGTGAAGCCTTCAATAGCTGTACCGGGGGAATTTCCGTTTGGTACAGATATAATGAGAGGCTGATCAATGCCCGGGTGCGGTCAAGGGATGGCTCCCTATTGCTCAACCACGTTATGTATGCCGATGATCTGCTAATTGCTGCTCACTCGGAGGAGGTGGAGACGCTGCTGGTGAAACTGGAGCGTGCCACTAAAACTAAGCACCTGCCTGGGTATTTTGTACCATCAGACACTCCACCCCCATAACTCCCAATCAGTTGTGGAGAGAATGGAGAGTTTCCCATACCTGGGCAGTGTGCTCATGACCGGTTCCGGTTTAACAGCAGAGGTCTCACTCCGAATCAGTCGAGCAGCAATATCTTTTCATCGGTTGCGTAACGCTGTGTGGAAGCTACCTGGTCTGTCGCTCCGCACAAAGCTTCAGGTCTTCTCAGCCACGGTCATTCCCTCCCTTCTCTACGCTTGCGAAACGTGGACCCCCTAATGGAGCATCTTCACCGGTTAGAAACATTTAGGCTGGCCTGCCTACGATCCATCCTGGGTTTAACCAGGCTGGATTGTGTGAGGAGCTCACAAATCCTTGAAAGATCTGGGCAAAGTCCCATCGGTGAGCTCCTCCGGCAGGCAAGGCTGCGTTGGCTGGGTCATGTAGCCTGCATTGCCCAGCCACCATATGCCTAAACAGCCTTTGTTCGGCCGGATCGAGGGGGCTAAACGGGTGCGGCACGGGCTAGAGAAGAGATGGAGTGATGTGGTACAGGAGGACGTGGAGCTGAGTGGACTTGCCGATGCCTGGTACCAGCGGTGTCAAGATCGGCCTCCGTGGAGGAGACTCGTGAAGGACGCTACTGGGCAGTTGGAGGCAGTCGCCCTCCAACAACAACGGAGGGCGGAGGGGCGACGCTCACAACAACGAGCGGAGCGCCGAGTGGCTAAAGCACAGCAAGTTGGCACAGTAGGGGGCACAGGTGGTGCATTAGCCAGTCATCTCAATCATCTCAGTCAGTCGACCCGTGGCACCTGGATCTGCCTCCTTGACCTCCTGCCAGCGGGCGTTCGACAATTCACGTGGCCTCAAGGTGCACATGGCCTGGCACAAGCGTCGTGGTGACATCACCGCCACTTAGTGGCGAATGGCGGTTGTTGTTGTCTGTGTGTGTGTTTCTGTGTGTGTGTGTCTCTGTGTGTGTGTGTGTGTCTCTGTGTGTGTGTGTTTCTGTGTGTGTCTGTGTGTGTGTGTGTCTGTGTGTGTGTGTGTGTCTGTGTGTGTCTGTGTGTGTGTGTGTGTCTCTGTGTGTTTCTGTGTGTCTGTGTATGTGTCTCTGTGTGTGTGTCTGTGTGTGTGTGTCTGTGTGTGTGTGTCTGTGTGTGTCTGTGTGTGTGTCTGTGTGTGGTGTCTGTGTGTTTGTCTGTGTCTGTGTGTGTCTGTGTCTGTGTGTGTGTGTGACTGTGTGTGTGTCTGTGTGTGTGTGTGTCTGTGTGTGTGTGTGTCTGTGTGTGTGTCGTGTGTGTCTGTGTGTGTTGTGTTCTGTGTGTGTCTGTGTGTGTGTGTCTGTGTGTGTGTGTCTGTGTGTGTGTGTCTGTGTGTGTGTGTGTCTGTGTGTGTGTGTGTGTGTCTGTGTGTGTGTCTGTGTGTGTGTCTGTGTGTGTGTGTCTGTGTGTATCTCTGTGTGTGTGTCTGTGTGTGTGTGTCTGTGTGTGTGTGTCTGTGTGTGTGTATGTGTCTGTGTGTGTGTCTGTGTGTGTGTCTGTGTGTGTCTGTGTGTATCTGTGTGTGTGTCTGTGTGTGTGTGTCTGTGTGTGTGTGTCTGTGTGTGTGTGTGTCTGTGTGTATCTGTGTGTGTTTCTGTGTGGTGTCTGTGTGTGTGTCTGTGGTGTGTCTGTGTGTGTGTTCTGTGTGTGTGTCTGTGTGTGTGTGTCTGTGTGTATCTGTGTGTGTGTCTTGTGTTGTGGTGTGTCTGTGTGGGGTGTGTGCCAGGCATGCTGGGGGTGAGCACCGCGCTCCTTGGTGACGAGGTGGGTGAGCGCCCCACGCTGGATGAGCTCCGGCACTTCGTGTGGACGGCAATGGCCGCCCAGCGATCCGGGAGGCCTGGCTCAGCACCCGGTCCGACCGTCTCACTCACTCACTCAGTCACTCACTCAGTCACTCATGTCACTCATCAGTCACTCACTCAGTCAGTCCTCACTCACTCACACACTCACACACTCAGTCACACACTCAGTCACTCACTCAGTCACTCAGTCACTCACTCAGTCACTCACAGTCAGTCACTCACACACTCAGTCACTCACTCAGTCACTCACATCAGTCACTCACTCAGTCACTCAGTCACTCAGTCACTCAGTCCACTCACTCAGTTCACTCAGTCACTCACTCAGCTCACTCAGTCACTCATTCAGGTCACTCACACACTCAGTCACGTCTCACTCAGTCACTCACTCAGTCACTCAGTCACTCACTCAGTCACTCATTCAGTCACTCACACACTCACACTCAGTCACTCACTCAGTCACTCACTCAGTCACTCACTCAGTCACTCACACAATCAGTCACTCACTCACTCACTCAGTCACTCACTCACTCAGTCACTCACACAATCAGTCACTCACTCAGTCACTCAC